CGAATATGTTATTATGATTAATATTGAATAAGATCTATAGTTTACAATTCTGTGTATTCTTTTGTAAAATCTTGTAGTTCTCTAACCTAGGGTTGGATATCATTGAATAAGATCATCAATGATATCGATCTGAGGCCTTTTATAGAACATGACTTCTTCTTTGATTGAACTGACTAAATATGATTAGCATGTATTCATCATTTTAGGAACTTCCATTTTTTCCTTTAATTTTTAATTTATGACTCAATCATGTTGTTTAATAGTATAAACTATTTGTTTTAAATTATATACTCATAATGGGGTACACGCGTAAAGCGCGTACCCTAAGACTAGTATATATATATATAATGGAGTAACATTTTTCATTTCGTTATTGTATTTAAGTAAATTAACCTTTTCAATTGTCTGTATTTTTAGAGAATGTTATAAAATTTGATAATTAAATAACAATGTGTTTTCTGTTGTTTACAGCCAAAAACTTTTGATAGCCATTTAAAATCTAGTTAAACTTTTTATTTTTCCTAAAAAGAATGGATATTTAAAGTGGAAATATAAAATTATAATATTAAAAGTAGAAATAGTGTTTGAAAAGAAAGTTAAATTTATGAGTGGAAATTATTATTTCATACGAAATACTTTTTAATAAGCTTTTCAATATTCTATCAAATACTTTCAAATAATAAACATATAACAATAACATACACAGTATAAAATTCACAAGTGGGATATGAGGAGGGTAGTAGGTACGAAAACCTTACTCCTACCTTGTGAAGGTAGAGAGGCTGCTTCCGACAGACTTTCGGCTCAAAGAAAGTATGGTCACAGTAGACAACAAAGAAATACGAACGTGGAGAACCTTAAGAAAGAGAAACAGTAATAACAGGTGGAAAACTAAGATAACTGAAACAAAATAAACAACAAGTGATAGTAACATGTAAGAATGGGAATACGAGAATAACACTAGTCGTATGACTACTAACCAACCAACTACCTTAATTCTCGACCTTCACACCCTTCTATCAAGAGTCATATCATCGATAAGCAAAAAATAGTAAATATTAGTACTAGTATTTATAAATATTGAACTCCAATATTTCCATACACCCCTAGTACTAAGAACCCGTTTGGACATAAGAAGCTTTTCACTTTTTTTCGAAAAAATTCTTTTTTTATCCGAAATCAGTATTTGGCTATAAAATTTGTAATTTTCGCTTGACATGAATTTTGGAATTTTTTGAAAATTTAAAAACTCCAAAAAGTTATTTTTCAAAATTTCACTCGGTTCAATCACAAAACTTCAAAAACAATCCAAAATTATATTCATTCCAAACACAACTCTAATTTTCGGATATAATTTTGAGTTAGATTTTTTTTTTTTTTTTTGAGAGTTTATAATTCTTATGTCCAAGCGCCCACTAAATCAAAAACCAAAGAGAAAAAGTTATTTTCGTCCTTTTGCCGCTGAAATAAAGCCTGTGTTAGGAGAGAGCCTACTCTTCTTGCAGCGCACGAAAATGATGTACTGCCACTGCCACTGCCACTGTTGTCTTTTGGTATCTCTTTAGCGCAGCAGATTATGATTTGCCTACAGCTAAGGAAATGCACCTTCAAATAATTAAATTCTAAGATCTCGTTTGGACATATGAAAATGTTGAAAAAAGAGTATCCAAATATGTTGCAAAACTTATAATTAAGCGTAACTTCATCTTCAATTTAAATTTTAGTGAAATTTCTAGTTTGAAAAAAAATAAAATTGAAATTCATGTCCAGACGCCTACCAAATCTAACTGAAAAGTCTGCATAAAACTAATTAACCATGCGAAGATTTGTAATCCAAGTAAAAGAAGGATATCATTTTGGTCTTTAAACCCTATAATTGATCCTTTTTTTTGTGGTGCACAGCTAAAAAATTAATAATAGTAACGGCTCTATTTCTTTATAATACTATAATATAATTTCCTTCATTTAAGTAGCAAAATTACTTGTAAAATCATAAAACTGGATAAACTATATTTCTACATGCTTATAATGTTTTAATTGCACTACATGAATGATTAATTTATACGCAACGCTATAATTAAACATTAAAAACTGATCTCTTAATTAGTATATGGTTATTTGCAAGATTCTTGCCATGACCACTGGTAGTACAATTAACTAGTTGCTCTGATCAAATGGTTTATGTGGCAGAAATGCCCAAAATCATTTACTGTACACATCTCCGAAAATTTTAATATAGTCAACAATAATTAATCAATCTTTGTATATTTGCTATTGATGGCCAGAATATTCACTTCTAGCAAAACCAAAACTATCCAAACTCCCAATTCTTTTGGCTCGCAATTGGCATCGTCAACTTTAGTAAAGTTTTGAATCTGTTCACTTGTGATCTTGCTTTTTGACTGGAGACGGGACAGATTATATACTTAAGGAAAAAAAGGCTGGGGGAGATCACGGTGAAGCTATGTTGGCCCGAGGGTGGTCAGCTGGCCACTATTCACCGAAGAATGATACTACGTATAAGGTAAAATATTACTTGTTATTGATTAAACATAGACTTTGAATACTCTTGCATAGTCCACTGACAAATGGTGTTTAGAATTTGAATATCCTTATTGAATTTTTTGACTTCGCCAAATTATCTATTTTAAGGACACAAAAAAAGGAAAATATTATATTATTAATACTTCAATTTATCTATGTATGCAAATAATTAATTACCACAAATTGCCTCGTTTAAGGTTTTGCATGCGTGGAGCTCTTTCTTGGACGTAAAATTTTAGTATATTGCATGGAATTAAGTAGGACATAATTGCATGTTGGGATATTAATTTAAGTATCAATCCCAATATAATAATTTGTTGTTGTGGTCCCAAACTAATCAAATATATAATTCTGCCCCATCATAAGGTGAGATTTGCAGTGGTTCAGCATCATATACAGTTTAGACTAAAATTAAATTGCATGAAGACTATTCGAAATTTCTATAATTAACATCAAATTAAAGTCTTGATTGAAATGTCATGTGATCCAAGAGGTTAATCATCAATAATACTACGGATTTTTGTCTTTTTGTCCAGACCTTTCAACTAGGCCAATTTATGTCGCTCCCTTTTTTTTTTTAACAATATATTAATAATGTGAATTTTTTTTTACTTGGTTAGTATAAGTAATTAAATCCATGAAATTATATATACTACTCATATGTTTTTAAAAAGAAATGTTGGGTGTGCGAACAAAGTCTCACATTGATAGCTGAAAATATTGGAAGTCTATAAGGTGTATGGATCTCTTAATAGTGTGAGATCTTTTGGAGGAAACCGTGCGGGATTGGCCCAAAGCGGATGATATCACACAATGTTAAGAGTGTATTTGGGCTAGTTTAGCCCAACAACTGGTATCAGAGTCCAGGTTCAGCGGGACGAGTATGGAGATGGCAGAGTGATGGTGCGCGATGACACGCACACAAGAAGAAGCTAGTTATAGCTTCGGGTGCCATAATATTCTAACACAATGTTAAGAGTGTATTTGGGCTAGTTTAGCCCAACAAGAAATTATATAAAAACAAATTGACAAGGCAAATAATAACCTTCATAGAAACATCTATTGTGGATCGAGTATGGGTGTTCTAGTTTTACACGTAACAAAAACAATAATTTAATAAAATTTCATCGGTGAGATTTGAGAAAAATAGTATATACCCTATCACATAAATTAAATCTACAATGGCAAGCATTATCGTGCAATTACTGTCGCTTTTATCTAGAGTAGTTTTTGCTAGAAATAAATTGACGATTTATACCTCTTAATCCAGTTTCACTTCTTCAAAGATATAAATACTTTACTTGTTATTTATGTTTCTTAATATAGGGAATAATTTCATAGACCTTCCATCATGTTTCGTTTCATCACACTAATCTCCCTCTTGGTATATGACATTATGTTTACTTTTCTGATTTTAGTAGGCGTTTGGACATAAAAATTGCAATTTTCTTAAAAAGTATAAAAATGATATTTGAACATGCATTTTACTTGAAAGGTGATATGAGAGAAAAAGATAAGATAACGACGCAACCACACTAAATCGATCGTTATATAAAGTGACACATTTCGTCGTTACGTAAAGACGGATTTAACGACACGATACAATAAAATTTAAGTAACAATCAAAACAAACATTATTTTTAAAGTAACAATACGATACAATACATTAGATAACGACCGTCCAAAAAGGCTGTTAGCATCACTATTTGAATGATCAAGGATCTCACCTTTTCTCCTATAGATAATCCCACTTCAGCTAATAATAATAAAAAATACCCCAATAAATTATCAAACACATTTTCTGTATTAACTACATGCGATGTACACATGCATTACCATGAAAAGGAAGTAAAAAAGAGATGCAACTTTGAACCTTAGACCATCTTTTATTTTATTTTATTGATTATTTGGTGGTGAAACAAAATGTCTATATTTCCATCTACTAGTAATAATTATTTTCTTAATTTCTCATTAATTGAATAATTATTCGTGGGTCTAATGATTATATCAGTGAAAAAGTAATTATAGATAAGATTTTCCTTGTTTATCCCTTGGATCAGATTTTATTTTTTACCATTTTTGCAGTACCTTAATATGAAAGGGTTTCAAGAATCAGCAAGCATTTTACGCCACTGGTATCCTAAATAATACGTTAAATAGGATTTTATAATTAGTTAAAATAGTGTACAAATATTTATATTATCAATACANCACAAAACTTCAAAAATAACCCAAAATTATATTCATGTCAAATTCTTTTTTTTTTTTTTGGTTAAAAAAATTACAAATACTTCATTGTATCATAATTTGCTTTTGTATCGTGAAAAATCCAATCATATTTATGTCGTACTACCTTTTTAGTGAACCGAAGCGAAATCAAACGGCGACTGATGATCGACCATCTAGATCCAACGGTTCACATTTATTTCGTAGCCTTATATAAACGAAGTAAGATACGTTCCACATCAACGTTTGCCCTAATCAATCGAAGAAGAACGACGGCGATGGAGATGGAGAAGCAGAAGCAGAGCACTGAGGAGGATCTTCACATTGATAAGAAGCAGAAGGAGATCACTGAGGAGGATCTTCACATCGATAAGAAGCAGAAAACAGAGAATCAACAGGTTTTTTTTAAATTAGTATTTAGTTTTTACCTTTAGATCTTCGTGTATTTCTCTTTTAATCTGAAGTTTATTTATGATACCTAGGATGAGGCAGCTAAAGCTCCTCGGTCTCTGAAAAAGCCACGCAAAAATAAACAGAAGCTGGAAAAGGTGCTTAAACTAATTATTATAGTAATTTTTTTTTTATATTTTTTGTTTTTAATACTTGTAATTTCTAACTGATTATCTCTTTAATTTTTTGCTGAATATGCTTTAGGTCGAATATAATTTGGGTTTTAGCTCAGGCAATATTCTGCTTTGCCCGCCAATTTGCTGCCATTTGTATCCGAACATATATGATGCTCAAGGAGATAAACACTTTAAAAACTGGATCCTTGAAGAACAACACAAACGCGTAGTCGCAATGAAGAATCTAAGGAGGTGGTAACTAGTGCAGTATTAGTAGTACTCTTTGATTATTCCTATCTTTAACCCTAATATAACAATAGTTCAGAAGCTTAATTTGCTTATTGGTATGTACTAGTAAGGACTGAATTTTTATGTTAGTGAATGCATTAAGTAACTTGGAATCTAATTAGATAAATGCTATGCTTATCTACCTTTTACTATATGTGGTCTTACCTTAGACTCTTGTGGTTCGGCCCTTCCTCGAACCACGCGCATAGCGATAACTTAATGCACTGGGTTACCCTTTACTATATGTGTGCTTATTGCGCTTTCTCTAACTTTTGTTCAACATTATTGAAATCCTTTCAGTTTTGTTTCATTCTGACCATTGGAGTTTGGTTAATGTGGTATTGTAAACTTGTGTATGTTCTACTTTTTGCTCTATATTCGGAAACTTCAAGCCATTGAGCTGAGTTTCTATCGGAAATAGTCTCCCTGCCTTTAACGTAAGGGTAAGTCTGCGAACACTACCCTCTGTAGATCCTATTTGTGGGATACTGGGTTTGTTGTTGTATTTTGAAGTTCAAGCCATTATGTCGCATGATAAAATGGTTGTAATTATCTTTCTTTCATGGTCTTGGTTAACAAGTTTTATGGATCAACTTATCCTTCCATGTTAAGTTGTTTTAATGTACGTTACTCGGTCTTTTAAAAAATGTGATAGGGTACGTATTGGATCCTCTAAAAATAATGTATTTTTTAAGGATCTTACACGAGTGCGTCAACAATTTTGCAGAGTCCGAATTTTAACTTGTTATGCTACTCTTTCACTGTGAAAGATCAAATGCTACTTCAGGTTATGAGTAGCCGAGTAACACAACTTAGGCACGAATTTACTGTTGTCTTTTCATATTTCTAATCTTCGTCTTTCTTGAGTCTCCATTCGAGTTCAATTTAATAATTTTTGTGTAACTTAGATTCTGGATAAGCGAGTCATGTACTATTACTGTCTCCCTAGTCTAGCGGCAATATAAGTCTAACTTTAATCAAGAAAAACATCTTGTTACTAGGTGTTGCCAATGTTTCATTTCATCTTTTCATTAGCCGAGACTAGGTGTTGCCAATGTTTCATTTCATCTTTTCATTAGCCGAGAGCCTAGCGGAAACAGTCTTTTTGCCCACATAATGTAGGGATAAGGTCTACGTATACACTTTCAACTTAGACCCCATTTGTTGGAACCCGTTTGATTTGTTGTTGTATATACCAAGAAAAAAGGCAATGAAATATAAAAATCTGATTACAACCACCAATAGAACTCATTTTTTTTCTTCATACTTAATCAGAGAGGTCTTCAACTAATTCGTACTCGGGCCAAGCAGTGTTTTAAAAGACATAGGTGTGAGAGACAGGGCGTTTTACTTAACGTGGGACGAGGCGTAAGCCCCGATACATGGAGCGTAGGTCCCATGGATATTTAAATCTATTAATTTATAAATTAATAAAATAGCAAAATAATCACAAATAAAATAGAAAGTACATTAAAAAATCAAAATAGATTAATAAACTACAAAAAAACAAAGTATTTAGCACTTTTTTTATAAATATAAACAATGCAATAATTTTGAAGTTACTATAAGATAAAACTTAACTATAACATCTTATCTTTCAAACAATTAAAAGATCAATAATATTTTAAAAAATATTATCAAATTACACAGTTTACCTTTTTAGAAGTTAGCAATCAATAAGCTCATTGATAATGTAATTTAAAATATTATTCCTCACGAATAAATATAAAACTGCTTTCAAATAGCAAATTAATAAAAGTTTGATAATTTATGAGAGACATAGAACTAAAATATTTATACCTATAGTAAGAGAAGATGTAAATTTTGGCTATTCAAATGATATTTACTCTCCGATGTTCGCAATTAGTAAATATGCAATATCATGACTCGTTATTTTGAGTTATTCTCAATCTTCATATTTATATAGATGAATAAACCTTTAATCATTCGTTTGTTAAAAAAATTTGAGTGTTAACAATCCTAATTAGGGAAATTGATGCATGATTTGCGCCAGGAACTATTAAGCGAGCCTTGAACAAAGAGCGTTAGGCGTGTTTTGGACGCACATTCGGGTGCTTGGGGCGTAAGTATAATAAAACTAAGTCCCACACGTAAGTNACTTATGGAGCCAACAACCAAACAACCCCTTAAATGGATAAAAACTTGTTAAAACCTTTGGCTCGCCAAATCACACACTGTAAGATCTCTCCCAAATGTCTCACACTCACAACTAGGGTTGGGCTCGATATTTCGGTTCGATATTTAAGAATTTCGGTTCGGTATTCAGTTTATCAATTGTGTATATTAAATACCGTACCAAATTATTTCGGTACGGTTCGATATTTTTTATTTTGGTTCGGTATGGTTTCGGCACGGCTTCGGTCTAATAATCGCTAAAGAAATAAACTTATTTTGGTTCGATACTGTTGCACCAAACTGGAAACAACAAAATTAATTAATTGACAGAAATAATTTTTGTCCAGAAACAAAATTGAGAGAAACAGTTCGAATGCCAAGACAGAAACAATTCGAATGCCAACAAAATTTTTGGCTTTCTGTAGTAGTATATGGAAATTGGAAACACTTAAACTTGCTATCTATAATTCTATATTCTTCTTTTTTTTTCTATTTGAAAATACCATATTCAAAACAAAATAAAAACACCTGAACATCCAATATTTTACACTGCCAATTACATTTGCAGTGTCCCAATTACATTTACACACTGCCATTGCCAAGAACACCTGAACAACCAACATTTTAGGAAACACCTGCAGTTACATTTACACACTGCAATTATATTTACCAACTGGAAACACCTGAACAACCAACATTCTTCGAAAAAAGGCCATCCACAAACAGAGCAAACACCTGAACATTGGCATTCATTCACAATTCAGCAAAACCATAAACACAACCATAATCAGCTCTGTTTAAGGAACAACAAGAGCTCAAAATGCACCTTAGCCAAAATGTTTACTTTCATTTTATTGAACATACCCAAATACCCAATAATATAATTTCAAGGTAAAACAAATAAAAACTGGTAAAAAGGTTTAAAAAAAGAGTTAATCTTTAGCAGCTCTAGCACAAATTATGGAAGAAACTAGAAACATACCTTTGAATTTTGATTAGCAGCCGATCTCTTTGAAGTCCCAACAAGCTTTTGAAACAACGGCCCATCTCTTTCTGAATTTGTGAAACTATCGCAACAACAGCCGATCTCTTTCTGTATTTGGTCTTCGTTTGCCCGGAATTTGTGAAACTATCGCCCTAAATCGGAATTGACTTTCTGAGGAGTGAGGAGTGAGGACTGAGGAGTGAGCTGAGTTCGTGACTGCCTAGTGCCTAATGCTAATGCCCTAATCTTTAGAGTTTAGACCCTAATTGAATAGAGAGTGGGCTTGGGAAGTTAGGCTGGGACACTGGAGTGGGTAGTGGGCTGGGAGTTATAATAAAATTTTTTGGGCTGGGGCGCTGGGCAGTGAGTGTAGTAGCTAACTATAGGTCCAACTTAAAAAGTCTTTAAAACTTCGGTAATTCGGTATACCGAAATTTCAAGATTCAAATACCGAGGACCGTGCCGTAATACCGAAAATGTAATACCGAATTAAATCGAAATATCAAAAAAAATTGAAACCGAAATATCGAATTAATTCGATCCGGTTCGGAATTCGATTTTTCGAATTTTATGTCCACCCCTACTCACAACCCACTCCACCACCTTCTCAAATCCTCACGATCCATAAATCGTTTTTAGTGAAGCCGAGGAAATTGATACGAAAACTGGAAACAATGATAATATTTGTACCTTGAATTTTGGAGAATTATAAACCCCCAATTGATGCTACTGCTGTTGGGAAAATGAAGAAATTTGGGGCGATTGTTATTGGGAAAACTAATATGGATGAGTTTGGCTCGGCTTATAAGGTAGTATATTATTCTTTCTCATTTGGTTTATTTGAATTAAACTTACTTGTTAAGAAAATATTTTGCCTAATCACAGAAGATATTAAACAAATTTTTCAATTAATTATTTCTATTTTTCTCTTTCTCAATTTCTTTTTGAATTCCCGTTGTAACCGATAAGTAGGGATTTTGACCGCTTATTTGCTCTCTTTTACTTGTGTTTTATCTCGAAAATGCTTAAAGGTATCCCCGAGAACTAATGAAATGAGCTTTCTTGCAGGAATATTGGGAAATGAGCCAAAGAAGTGAAAATCAACTCAAAAACGAGTCAAAATTGGACAAGGACCAAAACAGGGCAAAAGTGTTTATAGTGCGGACCGCATAATTTTGGTGCAGCCGCAGAAGAGAGGTTCAGAGACTTGGAGATTTTGAGCAATTGAAGCTGTGCGGACCGGACAATTATTGTGCGGCCGCATAAGCCAGTGTGCGACCGCATTCACTAATATGCGGACCGCAGAGGAGGAGATTCAGAGAACCTTGAAGTGAAGTTGTGCGGACCGCATGAATATTGTGCGGCCGCACTCACAAATATGCAAGTCCAAATCCCAGTTCAAGCCAAGTGTGCGGCCGCACTGAGAAATGTGTGGTCCGCACAACTAAACGAAGTGCGGCTGCATCCCAATTTTGTGCGGCCGCAGAAGGCCCAGTTGACCAGTCAAGCTCAAAGTGCGGACCGCACTCAGAATTATGCGGCCGCACAACCTCCGCAGGGGCATTTTTGTCAGATATTTTCAGCTTAATATAAATAGGACTTTTTGTCATTTTTAGGTTAAGTTGAGTTTTGGGAGAGCACCTGTGTTGTTTTTCTTTACTGCTTTAAGTAATTTTGTACTAGATTTGTCTCCAAACACTAGATTCTTTTTCCATAATTAAATATTATGGATTCTATCTTTATTTCTTCTTTAATTTCTGCATTTTTTATGAGTAGCTAAATTTCTAGCTGGGGTTGTGACCCAACCCTAGTGTGGGTATTTAATGGGTGTTTAATTTAGGGCTTGTTTGTGATTGAGTTAGTGATATTTAGACTACTTCTTGCTTGAACTCAAGATTTAATGATTGCAAATATTGATTCGTGCCTAATTGACTTAATCTCTACTTGAGAAAGAGGGACTAAGTCTAGAAAAACTTGACTAACAAGAAATTAATAGGTAGAATTGGCTAACAAGAAATTAATGTTTCTGTCCTTAACTTCTAAAGCAATTGAATAGGTAGATATTGATCAAATTCATATTCCTATTCATTAAAAGTCCTATACACCACCGATGCAACATGTCTTCAACGCGCCTCAGCATGTCGATCTGACAGAAGAACCATCTGCTACCCAGACTATGGTTATTTTTCTTCAAATTTTTTCTAAGTCACTTTCCTGTTTCCACTTAGATAAATGTTAATCGAATGCATGGTTCTTAATTTCCCGGGCTATTCAGGTTACAGAGAATGTGGCACCTGACATCTCTTTTGCAATGCCAACAACAGAAAATATCCCGAAAATTACAAGTCCTACCATGACAAGTCTAGGAATTTATCAGAGGATATATCTGACATCAAATTCATATTCTACAAGTATGTTGGAGCAAGGCGATAGTTCTACTTTAAAAAAGTTGAAAGAAAGGAATTTTGCGAGTATTTCTAGGTACTATCTTTATACTTGGTAATTAACTCAACCACATTTGATACATCAAATCTATGTTACAGTGCTTTAGCATGTTCACTTGAATGTGTTGTTGATGTTTCTCTCCTTAACTTCTAAGGCAATTGAATAGATAGATATTGATCAAATTCATATTCCTATTCATTTAAAGTCCTATAGACCACCGATGCAGTATGTCTTCAACGCGCCTCAGCATGTCGATCTGATAGAAGAGCCATCTACTGCCCAGACTATGGTTATTTTCCTTCAAATATTTTCTAAGTCACTTTCCTGTTTCCACTTAGATAAATGTTAATCGAATGCATGGTTCTTAATTTCCCAGGTTATTCAGGTTACGAAGAATGTGGCACCTGACATCTCTTCTGCAATGCCAACAACAGAAAATATCCCGCAAATTACAAGTCCTACCGTGACAAGTCTAGGAATTTATCAGAGGATATATCTGACATCAAATTCATATTCTACAAGTATGTTGTATCAAGGCGAGAGTTATACTCTTAAAAAAGATGGAAGAAAAGAATTTTGCGAGCATTTCTAGGTACTATCTTGATACTTGGTAATTAACTCAACCACATTTGATACATCAAATCTATGTTACAGTGTTTTAGCATGTTCACTTTGATGTGTTGTTGATGTTTCTATCCTTAACTTCTAAGGCAATTGAATAGGTAGATATTGATCAAATTCATATTCCTATTCATTTAAAGTCCTACAGACCACCGATGCAACTTGTCTTCAACGCGCCTTAGCTTGTCGATCTGACAGAAGAACCATCTGCTGCCCAGACTATGGTTATTTTCCTTCAAATTTTTTCTAAGTCACTTTTTTCTTTCTACTTAGATAAATATTAATCGAATGCATGGTTCTTAATTTCCCAGGCTATTCAGGTTACGGAGAATATGGCACCTGACATCTCTTCTGCAATGCCCACAACAAATAACATCCTACAAATTATAAGTCCTACCATGACAAGTCTAGGAATTTATCAGAGGATATATCTGACATCAAATTCATATTCTGCAAGTATGCTTGAGCAAGGCGAGTGTTATACTCTTAAAAAGATGGAAGAAAGGAATTCCGCCATTTCTAGGTATTATCTTTATAATTGGTAATTAACTTAACCACATTTGATACATCAAATATATGTTACAGTGTTTTAGCATGTTCACTTTGATGTGTTGTTGATGTTTCTATCCTTAACTTCTAAGGCAATCGAATAGGTAGATATTGATCAAATTCATATTCCTATTCATTTAAAGTCCGGCAGACCACCGATGCAACATGTCTTTAACGCGCCTCTGCATATCGATCTGACAGAAGAACCATCTGCTACCCAGACTAGGTAGATATTGGAGTTTGGTTAATGTGGTATTGTGTATGAGCTGAGTTTCTATCGGAAACAGCCTCTCTACCTTTAACGTAGGGGTAAATTCTGCGAACACTATCCTCCGTAGATCCTATTTGTGAGATTATACCGAGTTTGTTATTGTATTTGGAAGTTCAAGCCATTATGTCGCAAGATAACATGGTTGTAATTGTTATATCTTTGTTTCATGGTCTTGGTTAACAAGTTTTATGGATCAACTTATCCTTCCATGTTAAGTTGTTTTAATGTACGTTACTCGATCTTTTAAAAAATGTCATAGGGTACACGTTGGATCCTCCAAAAATAATATATTTTTTAAGGATCAGATACGGGTGCTACAATAATTACGGGTGCGACAACAATTTTGGAGAGTCCAAACAACGTGATTTTAAGTTGTTATGCCACAAATGCTACTTCAGGTTATGAGTAGCCAAGTAACACAACTTAGGCACAAACTTACTGTTGTCTTTTCATATTTCTAATCTTCGTCTTCCTTGAGTCACGATTCGAGTTCAATTTAATAATTTTTGTGTAACTTAGATTCTGGATAAGCGAGTCATTGTACTATTACTGTCTCCCTAGTCCAGCGGCAATATAAGTCTAACTTTTATCAAGAAAAACATTTTGTTGGTACCAGAGGTTGCCAATGTTTCTTTTCATCTTTTCGTTAGCCGAACGTCTTTTGGAAACAGTCTTTTTGTCTTTCTAATGTAGGGATAAGGTCTACGTATACACTTCCAACTTAGACCCCACTTGTGGGAACACGTTGGATTTGTTGTTGTATATATCAAGAAAAAAGGCAATGAAATATAAAAATCTGATTACAACCACGAGGTCTACAACTAATTCGTACTCGGGTCAAGCAGTATTATAAAAGACATAGGTGTGAGACGAGACGTTTTTCTTAACGTGGGACGAGGCGTAAGCCTCGATACATGGAGCGTAGGTCCCATGAATATTTAAATCTATTAATTTATAAATTAATAATAGCAAAATAATCACAAAAAATATAGAAAGTACATTAAAAAAAATCAAAATAGATTAATAAACTTCAAAAAACAAAGTATTTAGCACTTTTTTATAAATATAAACAATGCAATAATGATGAAGTTACTATAAGATAAAACTTAACTATAATATCTTATCTTTCAAACGATTAAAAGATCAATAATATTTTAAAACATATTATCAAATTACACAGTTTACCTTTCTAAAAGTTAGCAATCAATAAGCTCATTGATAATGTAATTTAAAATATTATTCCTCATGAATAAATATAAAATTACTTTGAAATAGCAAATTAATAAAAGTTTGATAATGTATGAGAGACATAGAACTAAAATATGAATACCTATAGTAAGAGAAGATGTAAATTTTGCCTATACAAATAATATTTACTCTCTGATGTTCGC